TCAATGAAACTATTAGAAATCAAAACACAAATTGAAACGATGTGAGCTGTTTGAATTAATTTACTCAGTTTTATTACGTTTGGTCTAATTTTATGGTTGCTAAGTGACCAAGATTGTTGTGGTGTTTCATTCTGCAAGCTGGATCTTTCGGTTGTGGAGTTTTCATTGTTCTTCGTCTGAACAACATCATCAGCAAAAACTTCAGATAGAAGAAGTGAAGCATTCAAATTTCTCTACAAAATGACTCGTAGCTTGTTCTGCTAACCTCGAACTTGATTGGTTGCTGTTGACCTTAAACCTGTCGTTTTTTGTTTTGACTGTTTCTTGATCCTATGTTCGCCTATGATTTTTCTGATTGGTTGATAAATTGGGTCAATGTCGATGTGTTTGTTGATTGCTGGTTGACGCTGAGTGCCAAGCTTCTAAAACTTTTCTAGTGCTCTTTGTGTTCTCCCCCAACCTAGTAATTCGACATTGTTCCATTCGAATGTGTGTCCATAATTGTCGGTGTGTATTGATATAAGCGAAGAATTGTGGTGTCGTTAGATAGTTAATTGGTGTTCACGTAAACGACGCTGAAGAGGATGTCCACTTTGTCTGATGTAGTGTTTTTCACAGTCTGAGCAGCTGTTTATTTTGTAGATGATATTTGGTTTTTCTTCTTTTGTCATTTTGTCATTGAAGTGATTCTGTTGGTTTGTGTGCTACACCTATTTCTAAATGGTTTCAGTAGTCGTTCTCTATGCTCCGACAAGTCTTTTATGTATGGTAGGATGATCCGTTTGTTGGTTCCTGCACTTGATTTCGCTTCTGTTGACGATTTCGGCTGATGTTTTTTTGAATGAAGTTTCACCGGAAGCCTTTCTTTTGGAAGATAGTCATAAGATGTTTTTCCTCGTTTTGTAGTGCTTCATATGTGTTTCAATGTGCCTTCACCCTCTTGAACAAAGTTTGTACACAGTTGATTTTGTGGGTTCTTGAGTTGTTGCTATTACTATAGTTGAGAACTATGTCTGTGTGGGTTGTCTTCCAAAATACTTGAGTCTCTAGTTTTACCGCGTCAGTTCTGGTGATTAGTACATCCAGCAATGATAAACTGTTGTTTGATTCATTTTCCGTTGTGGATTTTACGTTATCAAAGATGTTGTTGATTCGACTGTAGATGTTCCTTTTGATAATGACGAATGTGTTGTCATTGTTATTTATACATATTCCTTTCATCTTGAACTTTTCATGAACTACTGTAGTTGCAAGCTTACCATTCACAGACTCCCTTAATCACAAGCTACTGCTTTTTCCTGTGAGTGAGTGGGCAACGCTGTTATTAGAAAACGGGTGCTAGGTAAGAATGGCAGATCAATAGTAATGAAACTTCATCAGTTGAGATGGCTGGGACATGTGCTGCGTATGCCTAACCACCGACTGCCTCGAAGAGCTTTGTTTTGTAGTGTAGGAATAGGTTGGAAGAAAGTTAGGAGCGGCCAACCCAAAACATGGCAGAAATCCATGAAGTCATTGACTAGTGGACTTAGCCATGTCGGTAATTGTCGACTACCTGGTTGGGGTCCGCGAGATGATAATAATCGATGGTTAGAGACCTTGAATGACATGGCTCAAAATCGTTTGCAATGGCGCCGGTGCATTTATTCTTTGTGTTCTCTCAAATCCTAATCTTCTGGATTCTTCAACACCTCTAGTTTTGAATTTTTAAACTTTTCTCACTGAATCATACTTCTTGAATAATATCTTCTAATCCTAACCTCTTCGACTACTGCTAATATACCATTACTACCTCTTCTACTATTGGATTTGAATTGACAATTACATCTCTGTGCTGATGTGGTATGGCGACATGAACTGATGTACTTACGTACGAAGTTCTACGTTGCAACTGAATGACTGCTTTTTCCTGTTCATATCTCACTGTTTTTCTCTATCGATTGGTGTAATGTTGTCAATTATACTTGTATACAGAAAACCGCCTATGTTTTGAATGATATGATTCAGTTTGAGAAGGTTGTTTACTTACTTCTAGACTCGGTCAGGTGGCCAGTTTGGGGAATGATTTCAGACCGATACAATCAGTACTTATCTACTTACTAACCGAAAATGAATAAATGCGTAATCGTACGCTGATTAGCATTTTATTTATATCCTTGATATTAGTTGGCGATTAAAGACACAACACTTTCCTGTTGAAAAGTTGTGATGTTTTAGTTTTGATGAAGGTGAATATTTTCAACAAGCTGATGCAGTATTTACTTACTTACTTACGCCTGTTACCCTAAATGAAGCATAGGACGCCGACCAGTATTGTCCAGCTTACTTTTTCCTAAGCGCTTCCCTTTCTAGTTCTGTACAATTTTCGTTCACACACAAGTTGATAGCGTTACTCTCTCTATAAATAGTCCTTTCTAACCTCTGTAAGCTAATGACGTCGCTAACCACATGCCCAACCCTCCTGCAAGCTTGGAACTGGCAATAGCCCTAGAAGGTCTTCAGGTGCAGTTTTTTTTTCTTTCTACACTCACCTTTCTTTATGTTTACAAGGATCAATTGATGTTTTTGAATGACCTTTCATTGAATTGACCTTGACAAGTATACATGTGACCAGATTGTTCAAAATGCATCAGTAAATTTTTTTTCCAAATCAACTTCTATCGTCTCCTAATAATATTCTATCAATGATGATTTTGTTTAAAACGAAAAACGAAAAAAACGTGTCATGATTAAATTACTTTTTCAACATGTCATGCAACCATCCATGACGTAGTTGACAAGTTAAGATGATACACATGTGTGTGTGTGTTGTGTTGTGTTGTACAATTTTTTTGTGAAATGAATAAAATGTCACGTGTAAAAGGATAAAAATTTCTGTAAAGAAATAATGAAAACAGAAAACCAAAATTATCATGACATGTTTTATTTGTCACTAAGCTCACTAAGATCTAATTAGTGCCTAATGTACAAGGATTGAATGTGTCAAATGTAAATTTCCTATTGTGAAGCTTGAAACATTTAACGAAAGTTTTTTCTGAGTATGCGACTGACTAGCCAGAAATACCAATTCACAATCCTACAAGTACAAATGAAAAAACCAATTAGGTTCGACTAGTTAGTTTTCATACGCTTCAGAATGTTTACGCCATCATAATCCAACAGTGATTAATTGCCATACATTTGAAACAGTTGAACTGCATTAACTGGAACTCCGGAGGGAAGCACGGTATCAACTGGACAGTTAGGACGCAGCTGGACGATCTGGACTTCGCAGATGACCTGGCTCTTCTATCGCATACGCAACAACAAATGCAAGAGAAGACGACCAGTGTAGCAGCAGCCTCTGCAGCAGCAATAGGTCTCAACATACATAAAGGAAAAAGCTAAATTCTCCGATGCAACACAACATGCACCAACCAAATCACTCTTGATGGAGATACCTTGGAGGACGTTAACACCTTTACATATCTGGGCAGCATCATCGACAATCAAGGTGGATCCGATGCAGATGTGAGGGCGCGGATTGGCAAAGCAAGGGCTGCATTTCTACGATTGAAAAATATCTGGAACTGCAAACAACCTTCAACAAAAAACCAAAATAAGGATTTTCAATACAAATATCTAGAGATTTCTACTGTATTCGGGTGAACTATCAAAGCCATCATTCAGAAGATACAAGTATTTATGAACAGTTGTCTACGCAAAATACTTCGGATTCGTTGGCCAGACACTATCAGCAACAACGTACTGTGGGAGAGGACAAACCAGATTCCAGTGGAGGAGGAAATCAGGAAGATGTGGTGGAAGTGGATAGGACACACATTGCGGAAAGCAACTAACTGCGTCACGAGACATGCCCCCACATGGAACCCTCAAGGCAAAAGGAAAAGAGGAAGGCTAAGAAACGAATTACGCCGAGAAATAGAGAAAGATATGAGAGGAATGAACAAACATTGGACAGAACTGGAGAAGGAAGCCGAGGACAGAGTTGGTTGGAGAAAACTGGTGGGCGGCCTATGCTCCATCGGGGGTAACAGGCGTAAGTAAGTAAGTAAGTAACTGGAACTCCGAGAATTTCCTCGCAAAGCTGGTCACTAGTGAACACAAGATAACAACTAACTGTCAGTCATTATAGGTTGGTGAAGAGTGTTGATTTTCATTGAGAAACTGTGACCGATAGAATGCAACCGTTTTGAGTGTGAATTAGTTACCTACCGAATACAATGGGTGAAGTTGTGCAATGCAAGACTGTGCATTGATCAAAGTTGGATGTTAGATCAGTGGTTGAAAAAGGCTAAGCGTTGATATGTGAGACCATAGGTTTAGGGTTTTTTTACATTATCGCTTGTCAAAGTCGCGGATACGCACGCACTACTGATGAGTCACGCCCAACTTCTCATCATCATTATCATCAGCAACAACCCAAAAACATTTAAATTACACCAAAGGACATATACAAAACATACACACATGTGATTTTTATGATTATTACTTATACTACTAAGTATAAACAACGAGAGTAGTTGTTCACAATCATAATAACAATAATAATAATAGTAATAACAATAATAATAATAATAATTATTATTATTATTAATACTTCACGCATCGTTGCATCGTCGTCACATGACACCGATGACAATATTGACTGATTTAATAGAACACCATCTTAACACGATCTCATTGATTGATTCAATGAAAATAGTTTGGTTTTCTTTTTAGCCAATAAAAATTCACTTTGCCTTTATTGACAATTATTATAATTGTAGAAATCATATTTTCAAATCAATGTGAATAGTTTTATAGCCGAAAATATAAAAAAAAACAAAGACCATAGACGCTTTTTTTTTATTTGCTGTTGTGTCTTTCAAACGATTATCAATTAATCATTAAATGTATCCGGCATGAAATTTGTACTACACTTACTGTTTCGACACTGATCGATGTCAGGCAATCCGATTCGATCCAGTAGTAATCCATGTCTTCTTAGGCAATAAATAATGTTGTCTTCATCGGCCACTTCAAAATCTCAATCATCTTGTGCAAATCGAGAAGCTTCTTTAACTGCACCACCGAAATTATCTTCACCTCCTAATCCAATCACTACTACTACTAACACTACCAATACTACTTATAAACAATTACAAGAAACCAATGTAAAATTACGGAGACATTCGTTTAGTAAATTATTATTGTCATCTGATCATTCATATCATATGGATAGATTGAATCACAGGAGTAATAATCATCATCATCAGTTATCACATTGTTTTAATCGATCCACATCGAATATTGTGAAACAATACAATTTAACATTGAATAAATATCCATTAGCTTTACGATTGAAGCATAGAGCACGTTGTTTCAATGAAGATCAACAACAAAAGAAACAAATGAAATTATTCAATGCATATTATGAGGAATTTTTCATTCAAAATTCCAATTCTAAATTAGAATCGGTTCAACAATTACAAGAGGATGAACAACAACAATGTTTGGATAGTGTAAGTGATCTGCCACCGTCAGGATCATCATTGTCAGTACAATCACAATCACAACCACAGCAACAGCAACACCAACCGCCATCATCGTCACAAAAACGTGTACAACAACATTGGCAACGACGACGTCAACATAGTAAGTCGTGGAATGTTCACAAATCTCGGCGTAGTTCTATATTGGATGAATGGAAACGGAAATCCGATACAGTTCAACCTGTAAGTTTGTTGTGATTAACTTTTGGACAGAGTATTATGCATCAAACGCGCATAAGTTGAAATCAATTAAATTTCAGTTGTTTTTTTACCCTTATTGTTATTATTAAACTGTAATTCGGATGAATCATAGGAAGGTAATTATTTATCTGACTGGTTAGCATTGGTTTATAGTTTATTGATTTTTGTGAGATATTTCAGAGACATAGTTATCATTTCTTATAACCACCAAACATTCCGAATATTGGTGTCTTCTCTGTTTCAATTACATAATAACAGCAGCTTTCCTGAAGCTAGTGTTTGTTGTTCAACCTGCGTCCAATGTGTTTTGACGGATTCCAAGCACCTCTAGGTTTCTATCTTTTCATCTTTGTAGCTATTTGTAACAGTCTTACAGCCTCTCACATTGTTCGAATATTTCATATACCTAACTAAATTAGTGGTTGCTTTGGTTGTAAGCATTGGCATCGTGATTTCCGGAAGGAACTCGGCTTTCATCATGAGACGTCATAACTCTTCGGAATGAAGACTTTATAACTCCCAGAACAGTGTTTAAATAGTCTGAATTATTTATTCTGGTTCGTATTTTTTTTCAGTGAGTTCGTTTTCTACGGGGTGGGGTCACTAACCGTTTAGCCAACCCTGCTCCTTTGTCTGGGCTTGAGACCGGCAGGAGTCCTAGAGGGCTCCTAGGCGAAGTTATTCTCAATTGGTGGAAGCACCGGACGGTCTTACTGTCTTGGTATAAGACTCATCCGAAGTGAGCATCCATGGTTTCTGCCCGTCACGAGAGTCGAATCTAGAATCTTCAATCTTCAATCTTCCAGTGTCCCCGGGGTTTCTGATGGTGATCTAACACTGATCGATTCATGAGTTCCATGAAACTCAACAATCTCCACAACCCCACTATGAATGATAAATATGAAACTGTTTAGTTCACTAATATTTTTTAGAAATGTTGGTTACAGTTAGAAAATGTTTTGAAAGATTTAGTATTTAAATAAATAAGATAGATATCACCGAAGGGATTGAATGATTATTGAACATTGACTAAAATTAACAGAATGGATCATTTGGACTAAGACTTACACCAGCCTCATAGTTTATGGATTCGTTCTGACAAGTGACTGTGAGCGTGATGTTCTGGTGAGTCGATAAAAATTGTTTGGTTCTGTTGGGGACGTAAGATCGTCAGAACTCACTGGATAAATGCCTTCCTTTTGGATTTTACGTCTGCAAGCATGGACTGACCAGGTGACCTTGAGATTACATTTCCCACCAGGAACATCCTTCGCTGTGATTGACTGCCGTGTATTTAATGTGCTATTTTTGTGACTGTCCAAGGACGGTTCTCTAATGTATAAATAAACGCGATTTGTGTGCTTGAATGCACTGTGCGCTGGCTGGGTGTTTGTAGAATACAATTTCTACGCTATGTCAAGACATTTTGGTCAGTCATTGGATCAGAGTAGCCTACCTGGGCGCTGGTTCATTGTCTCGTTCTCGTTATTTGACTAAGGTGAACACCCCTTAATAGTTTCAAGCATACCTAATGACGAACCTATCAGGTTCTTCTCAGTTTACATTTCATAGGTAAAACTATAAAAATATACTCAGACAATCATGATAAAGTTTTAGTATCTTGAGTGAAATAGATTGTAGAGTAAGTGTAAATTAATCGTAATCCAAAGTTTCAGTAAGTGCATAATATGTGTTCAAAGTAAAAAGTACGAACTAAGGTGAAGTTTTTCCAAATTTTTTTTTAAATAAACAAGGATGATTAAAATATTTGGATTTCCGTTAAATATTAAGATGAATTTTAATTAACTAACGATTGTATATTTTTCTTATGAGACTCAAAGAATTGAAACTCGATTAGATCGGACATACCTAACCACACAATATTTGGTGATTTATAACAATGCAAACGAGTCTATTAACTTGGAATTCCGTACAGAAGTTAAAATATTGGAAAGGAAAACTACCGTTTTTACAATAATATCGATCAATGTTAAAGTACATAACAAAGTTAGCAAACTAAACGTGACAATGATCAATTCGGTAGTAGTCAATGTTATGGCGGGAAAATGAATTCGGATATTGTGTGGCTGTAATATACTGGTTGTCGGACTCACTAATTTTGTGGTGCAGGAGGCTGAGTTAACTTCTATGTCGAGTTTCACCACTTTAAGGGTTCCGTCAGTTAAATATGCTCTGAAATAAATATTCCATTCAGTTTTCGTTTATGATATGTAAGTGATCACCGTTTGTGCGACGGCGGTAATATGAAACCGAATGTGGATTCGGTTGGATGTGTTTAATTCAAGCAATTGTTCTTGCACACATGCATGCGAATCTACAAAGCAGAGTTCTTTCTCAATTATATTAGCGATCATTATGGTTGAAGTGTTGTAGAAGTTAGCTGTCCTGCCCTCCAAAATGCATCAGTCAGTCAGTCAGTCAGTTGCGAAGTAAGAACTACGTACGTATGCACATAATTTCATGTTGCCATACCACATTGCCACACAGAGACGCAGATGTCAAATCAAATCCCATAGTGATAAAAATAGTAGAGGTATTAATGGTAATGAAGAAGACTAGGGTTTGAAGATATGATTCAAGAAGTATAATTCAATGAGATAACCTTAGAAAGACAAAGATAGAGATTATGAGGAATTCAGAAGGTTAGGATTTTAGAGAGCTCAACGAATGGATGCACTTGCGCCATTGAAAACGATTTTCAGCCATGTCGTTCAAGGTCTCTAACCATTGGTGACTTTCGTCTCGCAGAACCCAACCAGGTAGTCTACATCTACCAACATGACTCAGTCCACTTGTCAGTGACTTCATGGATTTCTGGCATGTTTTGGTTTGGCCACTCCTAGCTTTCTTCCAATCTACTCCTACACCACAAAACATAGCTCGTCGAGGCAGTTGGTGGTTAGGCATACGTAACACATGTCCCAACCACCTCAACTGATGAAGTTTCATTACTTCATCTATTGATTTACCATCCTTACCTAGTACTCGTTTCCTAACGATAGCATTGCTTACTCGGTTGTCCCATGATACACGAGCAATGCTTCTTAAACATCTATAATCGAATACTAGTAACCTACGAACATATTCTACTCTTAACGGCCATGTTTCGCATCCGTATAGGAGAACAGAGCGAACTGCCGCGCAGTACACCCGTGCTTTGGTTAGCGAACGGATATCACGCCTACACGTTCGACTACTTCACTCGCTATCACTATCCTAAACGTATTAAAAGACTCGAAATTTTTAAGTAATCTCACACATTTTTTATGTCATTGTATTAAAGTACAATGGTTGTCAATAACCAATCACTATCTAGAACCACCTAGACACCATCTGTGAGAAAAATAATGCATATAAATGTATATATACTAGAGCATGGAACCGATCCGACTTCTAACAGTTAGTCTTTCGGAATCGACAGTGATAAAAATATTATGATATCCAGCCTTGTACTGTTTATAGTAGTAGAAATAAGTAATCAAAGTGTAAAAGAGCTTTATTCAAATTAAAAACTTTTAAAATCTTATTAAATCAGCATAAACATGAAAGAAATTGAAATAACTCAAGCTTCATTTTAAGACTACTTTGAATAAATACTAACTTACTTACCTAAGCCTGTTGCCTTCAATGGAGCATAGGCAGCTAACCGGGACTCTACACACCTACTCTTACCTCAGGCTTCCCTTTCCAGTTTTGTCCAATTGTCGTTCATTCTTTTTCTTAAGTCTGTCTCCGTTTCTCGGTGTAATGTGTTCCTTGGCCTTCTTCTTTTCGTTTGGCCTGGGGAATTCCATGTGAAGGCTTGTCTTGTGACGCATTTGGATGATTTCCTCAATATGTGTCCTATCCACCTCTAGTGGTTCTTCCTGATTTCTTCCTCCACTGGCATCTGGTTTGTTATCTCTGATAGTAGGTTGTTGTTGATGGTGTCTGTCCAGCGAATCTAAAGTATTTCTTCCTTTATATCCTCAATACATTTGGACAGCTATGAAAATACATTCTATTGGAACAGTGTAGAAATATTAGGTTGGGGGAGAGCAACTATAATAATAGCAACAACTCAAGAACCCACAAAATCAACTGTGTACAAACTTTGTTCAAGAGAGTGATGTCACACTGCAACACGTATGAAGTACTACAGAACGAGTAAAATCACCTTGTGACTATCGTCCAAAAGAACGGCTATCCACACAATTTCATCAAGAAACATCAAATGAAATTGTCAACAAAAGTCAAATCAAGTACAGGAACCAATAAACAAATCATCATACCATACATCAAAGACATATCGGAGCATACAGTACGACTACTGAAACCATTTGGAATAAGTGTGGCACACAAACCGACACAGAATCACTTCAATCAATCCTATGTAAGCACTAAAGGACAAAACGGCAAGGGAAGCAAAACCAAATATCGTTTAGAAAATAAACAACTGTTCAGACTGTGAAAAACACTACATCAGACAAAGTGGACATCCTCTTCAGCTTCGTTTACGTGAACACCAATTAACAGTCTAACGACACCACAATTCTTCGCTTATATCAATACACACCGACAATTATGGACACATTTGATTGGAATAATGTGGAAATACTAGGTTGGGGGAGAGCACAAAGAGCACTAGAAAAGTTTTAGAAGCTTGGCACTCAGCGTCAACCAGCAATCAACAAACCCATCGACATTCATTCAATTTATCAACCAATCAGAAAAATCATAGGTGAACATAGGATCAAGCAACAGATCAAAAGGGCGATACAATCAAAACAAAGGTGCGAACAACGACAGGTTTAAGGTCAATAACAGCAACCAATCAAGATCGGGGGCAGCAGAACAAGCTACAGGTCAAACATGGAGAAATTCGAATACTTCACTTCTATTGTATTTTTGTGCTGATGTTCAGAAGAAGAACAATGTAAACTGCACAACCAAAACACATCCATCTCAGAGAACAATCTGTTGGCTGAAATAACTGAACTGGAGAAAAATCATTAACTGATTTCTAGGACTTTCTGCTGATTATCTGTCTACAT